TACATCATTATATAGAGAATATTGTAATTTGTAAAAGATTATAGCTAATTAAAAGAAAATAGACTACAGAAGGACAATATCTGTTTTAATTTAATAGATAGGATCACACAATGACAACTAATTATATTCAATCTTCAAGCTACAATGACAGGAATGGCAGCAAGTGGAATTCACAACACGGCATTAGCTCGTATGAACTCTTCATTAGTGTAATTATTGTGAGTGTATGACAGGAATGGCAGCAAGTGGAATTCACTACTCGGCGTTAGCTTAGATGGTATATACTCTTCATTATTGTAATTATTGTGACTGTATGTGCATTTTCCTGAACTTAGAAGGACATTAAAAGAAATGCTTGAGTCACCTGGACTCGAACCGGAGAACTTTAGTGTAAAAGACTGATGCGATAACCAACTACACTATATAATTGTGAAGAAAAAATGGTTTTATTTCAGAACTTTGCATGAGTGTTTGGTTGATTTTTTTGTTTTTTGTTTTTTGTTTTGGGGACTATTTACTTGAGATCATAGAAAGACGGAAGCAAAGTGATTTATACTGTATACAAAGCTTCCTATAATATCACGCTGTTACGAATGGTCAACCCAGAACTTCTCCAATCTTTCTAACAGAAGAGACACTGAGAAGTATCATATATCAAGCTTCCCTTTGTATCTGCTATTTAATGTTTTTGGTGTAATTTTATCTTCTCTATTTATATCATTATCGTTGCTCCTATTTAATAATGATTTATACACAACAAATAAAGAACGCCCATTTTATATGTTTGTGGAAGAAGAGGGATTTTCTGTAACCTCATGTCTGGCTGCTGGGAAAACTGAGACAAAGAGAATAAATATGTAAATTTTTATTTTATATATATCCACAGTCCACACATACATAGATACATGCACCAGTGTATCTGTTATATCTGAGCTTTGTTCAGTTGGTCTTCATTTGGCTGTTAGGTTAAAACATATGAAGATGTCACATTTTTTTAAATTGATTGATGTTAAAGACGAAACATTCATGTGCATTATATACATGATATACTAAGAGATATGTGTAAAGATGAAATTGCTGCAAATTCAAAGTATATCTGTTATGTATTTTATTGGAAACTAAAATAAATCAATGAATGTGTGATATTGCTTGGTTGGTGTGCAAAATGGCCGAATGTCCACGTCTCTAACTTGATGTTCAATGGAACTTTGTCTAATATGTATAATGAACTTCAAAGTTTATGGCTTTTCTGTAGTTTGCAAATCACGCTTCATTTTCTGGTGCATAGACCCTGACCATTTGGGTAGTTATTTTTTTACTGGGCAATAGCATAGGAGAACCCTTTTCAGTACTCACCGAATCTGCTGTTACGGTCCCTCTCACATTTCTATGTGTGGGTTGATTCTAGTGTTAGTTTTGTTTACCTTTTCGGTGCTTTTTCTTTCGTTCTCTTGGCATCCAAGTAATGCAAATTTCTGCTTACAATTGATCTACACACCATTGGAATTAGAACAATGTTTAATTGGCTGACTCAAGGGTTATGTTCCCAATGTCCTTGGGGATTGGTTATGCTGTACTTTCTATCAGGAATATTTTTTAATTTTTAATTGTTTAGATTAAAATTCTGGGTACTCAGTTTGAAACATTGATCAAGGAAGATGGGCCTTGTGGCAGTTTTTTATAAGAGTCTCATGATACTGTAATTGATTGAACAGGTTCTGTGTAGTTTCATCTTTGGAGAATATTAGTATTTTAGAGACTTGAAAACCAAACTATGCTTCATTTGCTGAGGTCATGGCTTAAGTTGGAGTACTAAGAGCATCTAGTAGACCTCCGTCAATTGGCATATGGCGATTAAGGATTTTTCAATGGGAAAATATTGAAATTCGGAACTGTAGCAAGAGGCTTGATTTCAAAACCGGAACCTTACTATATCAGGTGATAGTCCTTTTAACAGTATTCTCTTACTGTGCATTTTATTACATTTGGCTTGAAGTGGATATGTTCTTCCTGGGATCCTCTGCCTGTATGCCTTTCTTCTGCAATGTTGACTGAACTTTTTTCCTTACAACAATTTTTTTTACAAGGCTTTCTGGTTACCCACTTGGAAATTTGATAAACTAGGGCGTAATTTAGGCCTACGAGCAATGGGCTATGCTATTTTAAGGGAAACAGGGATTTATTGTTTAAGATGCCAATTTGGGGCATTGGCTGTAGAATGTAGTTATCGCATTGGCTTGACATAGAACAAGAATCAAAATTCACCAAAAACCAAGTATTTTTTAAATGGGAAATAGGATAAAAGATATCTATGGCATCTCTTAGTCTTTTATGCCATTTTACGCGTTTTTGACTTGCTATACTGGTCTTAGGAAAAGTCAAAGTCAAACTTTTAGCTGTATGAGCATTGTTCTGTTTCAATAGAGTTCTAGTTGCTCTTATTTTTTGGCAGTTTTCTAATTTCACGTGATTTTTGTTTAGGGCTGTTGCACATTAAATTTATTTTGATTCCTTTTGTGCTTTGGAACTAATTTGTAATTTTTTGTTATTTTTAGAGGTGGTTTGTTAGTAGCTAAATGCTTAGGTTTTTTAATGTTATAATAGTTGTAATGCTCCATTGTTGGACAACTATTCATTAATAATAGTTCGAGTTCTCTGTCCCCCAGACCTAGTGGATTCTAGGGTGAAACAGTTCTTCGATTGTAAACGCTTCCGCTTCATCACTGCAAGAACATATTCCCAATGTTCTTGCAGAAATTCGGTTATGCTGTATTTTTTTCTAGGGAAGTTCATTTTGCTAGAATTATGGATTTCTTGTTTGAAATTTAGATCAAGGAAGATGCGCCTTTTCGGTTTTAACAGTCTCATGACACTGCTTTATTGAATGGGTTCTTTCTAGTTCAGTCAATTCATACTTTTGGAAAGAATTAAGTCTGCTATCAAAGAAATTTTGGAACTTTCAAAACCAAACTATGTTTCATTTGCAGTCTGGATTAAGTTGGGGTTGTGAGAGTTTCTATTATATTTGGACCAAGAGGCATAAGGCGACTAAGGATTTCTGCAGAGTAAAGGGTTGAAAATGTGGCAAGATGGCAAGAGGCTTGATTTCTAAATGAGGAGGTTTTATAATGCAGTTAAAAGCCGTGGAAACAGTCTTCCCCTACAGTGCATGGCTTTAAGTGTTCCTGTTTCTTCCTGGGATCCTCTGTCTACGTTGACTGCACTCTTTCCCTTGCCTTTCTTCCGCAACATTGACTGAAATCCTTCCCTTACAGCCTTTCTATATAAGGATTTGTGGATTCCCAAATAGAAACTCAATTAGATTTGGGCTCAACGAGGTTGAGGAACATTGAACAATGCTTACTTTTAAGGAAGCATGCAGGGGCTACCAAATAAGATGTTTACTGGGGCATCATCAGGTCTGTTTAATGCTTAGAAGTAGGGAAGATGATCCCAGAATTCACGGGTTCGAAACCAAACATCACCTCTCCATACGGAGATACATCTGACCCTCCCGAGACTCCATAATGGTGGGAGCGCACTGGGCTAGCCAAGTAGGAAAGATGAGCTACTCAAGATTTAGAGAAGGAGATGGAATATGATTCCCTAATTGTTATAGCCCGTGTGTTTGAAGTGAAAAAAATTGAGGGTGAAGTCAAAATTCACCTAACAGGATGGAGATTGTAGTAAAGACTTAATATATTGGGGTATATTTATGGGGTTGTATTTATAGTATCATGTCGTCAAATACCATAGTTTCAAAAAAATGTAATTAACCAAATTAATGATGTGGACATGAATTTTTACTGTTCACTATACTTTGTTGTCCAAAATGACCTTTCACTTTTTGAACCAAATTACCCTACTGCCCCTGTTTCTTTTCAGGCACTAATACCCTTCACAGTTCACCATCTCTCTCTCCTGAGAACACACAAACTAAACCACCACCGTCGACGTATAAACACCAAAAATAATAGGGTCTTTTTTAAGCTGCTCTATTTTCTATTTCTTGAAAAAAAAAAAATAACCTGAGGACACATCTCCGCCGTCTGTTCATTCCCATCATGGCGGTGATGGGAATGAACACCACCACCACCACACGGTCAACGATGATACAGAGCCTCACCTATTTCTTATCGGAGCACTCATCCATCGTCAACTTCCGTTGGAGCCACTCCCAATCATGGGGCTCCACGTGGTCCTTCCTCTTCACCTCCGTCTCCCTCCACATCATCCTCTCCCTCCTCCACCTCCTCCTCATCCTCCGCCGCACCCGACCCGTTCCCCTCGGACCCGTCCCGACTCTCCATAGCCTCTCCATGGCCATCATCTCCGCCACAACCTTCGCCGCATCCTCCTCTCCGCCGCCGCCGAGATCTACGACACCCGGTGGTTCTGGCGCCTCTCCAAGACCCCCTTCTAGTGGCTCCTCTGCTTCCCCCTCGGCACCTGCTCCTCGGGTCAGGTCTTCTTTTGGTCCTACATCTTCTACCTCTCTCGGTTCCTCCACACTTTCCGGACCTACTTCACCGTCCTCCAGCGACTAAAACTCTCCTTCCAACTCTTCAGTCAAGCAATTCAGATATTCATGACCTTTCTCTGGCTCGAATTCTCTCACTCGTTTCAAATTCTGGCGATTCTGGTCACGAGCTCGGTCTATTCGGTGGTTTACGGATACAGATTCTGGGTGGCGATTGGATTGCTGAGCGGAGAGCTTACCAATGGCGGTGGAAATTAGTGATCGAGTATTAGAGTAAATTGGCTATATTTGATGTGTATTTTTGCGGCTGCAATTAGGGTATATTTTGTGCCGGAAAAGAAATAGGGAGCAGTAGGGTAATTTGATTCAAAAAGTGAAAAGGTCATTTTGGGCAACAAATTAAAATTGTCGTAAATAGTGAAAATTTATGTCCATGTCATTGATTTGGTCAACTATATATTTTTTTTGAAACTATAGTACTTTGACTACATAATACTGTAAATATAACCCAATAAATATATTTATACGTAAAAATCCTTATTTTCTTTTATTTATTGGTTTCACCTCAAATCCTTATGATATATGATAGCATTTAAAATCACAACATTCACTTGGTAGTACTTCAAATATACAAGTGAGACCATCCAAGTCTCTAAATGACAGTGGGCAATGCTTAAAAAGAAACAACATTTTTACACATGAACAGGGACAGCACGCAGAGGTTGAGCTCTCTGTAAGGTGATGCCAAACTTCTCCTCCATATTCATTTCCTTTGGAAAAATGCCATCTTCAAGCTTCCAGTCAAACGAGTTTATGAGTGAAGCCAACATCAAGTGAACCATCCTTATCGCTAGTGGCAACCCAGGACATATTCTTCGTCCACCTCCGAAAGGTATTAGCTCAAAGTCATGGCCTCGGACATCAATTTCTGTCCCCAAGAACCTCTCGGGCATAAACGAGTTTGGATTTATCCATGTGCTTGGATCGTGGCCAATAGCCCACACATTTACAAGCACCTGTGCGTCCTTTGGTACTTTGTAACCACATACTTCAACATTGGCATCAACTTTGCGAGGGATTAAGAATGGCACTGGTGGGTGTAGCCTGAACGTTTCTTTCACGATAGCTTGCAAGTATGGCAGACTTGCAATGTCTGATTCTTGTACCAGGTTACCTTTTCCAAGGATCTGATCAAGCTCAGCTTTGGCTTTCAACAGAGTCTCTGGGTTGTGTAGTATCTCCGCCATTGCCCATTCTAATGTGCTTGAAGTTGTCTCGGTTCCCGCTGCGAATAGATCCTGTAAAATAGTTTGTGTAAGCTGCAAACTTTACTTACTAATGAAACATTTCTACATATGTCAGGAAGTCATTACATACTGTAAAATTCAATGGACTGAACAAATCTTTATATGGACTAGCTAAGATGAGAGCAACTACAGAATGGTTTAGTTTACATACCAACAACATCCGTTCGATGTGAACTTGATCAATCTCATCAGGGTTAGTTTCGCTGATGTTGAGTAGGGTATCTAGCACATCATTGTTTGTGATACAACTTTGCAGTCTCCTCAACTTCAATCTTCCGTTGATCATATGATTGAAAAGCTCAATCATCTTCCCAAAATGAATCGTCATTCGATGCCTTATACCTAGTGGATCAAACTTCCTAAGCACAGGGAAGTAATCCACGAGATTGGGTTTACCAGCCTCTTCCATGATACCCCAAACTAGTTCCTTAAACTCTTGTGCCGTATCAGAGCTTGTGTCGGTCAAATCTTCAGAAAAGATGGTATTTGATAAAAGATTAAGTGTTGTTCTGAAAGCCGCTCGTCCTATATCTACTGCAACACCTGCCTGGCAACTCTTGTGGACGTAGGCGATGAGCTCTTCAACTTTCTGACTCCGTAACTGTTGCTTAGCGTCTAGTCTGTGACCTGAAAATATATGTGAGTTCAAGATTTTACGAAGGTTCCGCCAGCGAGTCGAAACGGGTAGCCAAACCACTGACAACTGGCTTTGGTTGTGGGCTTGAAGTGCATCCGGGATGGATCTGTTGGAGAAGAGGAGGTCTTGCTTTTGGAGGATTTCTCTTGCCATGGCTGATGAAGAAATGACCACTGTGGTTATTTGGCCTAGTCTCAAAGTCATGATAGGACCGTGAGTTTTGGCGAGCACTGCTAAGGACTTGTGTGGTTCATTTCCTAGTTTGAGGAGGTTTCCGATAATGGGCAATGGTGTGGGTCCCGGTGGTAGCCTACCTGCACCTTTTTTGGTTCCCCTTCCAATTGATGAAAGGACTTGAACCAGAGTCAAGGTGAACAGAAAACACAGTAGAAAGCTCAAGAAATCCATCTCTCTACAATCTCCTCTCTAGTGTGCTAGGCGGTGAGTAGTGCGTGTATGTGTGTGACTAAAGCGACTTGTGATATTCAGTTTTAAAGTTAATCGCTGTAATTTGATTTGTCATTATTTTTATTAAATTTATGAATGCCGGTGCCCTCATCTTGCCATACTTATTTGTAAGGAGTTGACTCTTTTTGGTTCGTGTAAAATATTGATTATCACATCATTCTTGGCAGTCATGCGTGAATATTTTAGTCTGCAAGGCTGTGTGTGTGGTGCATCCATGTGTGTGACTAAAGAAAGAGATTTGGGAGATTCGGTCTGTTAAACAATTTTTTGAAGTTATCGTTGTTTAATTTTTTATTATTATTATTATTATTATTAGAATTATGAATGTCCTCATCTTGCTATACTGGAGTAATTTATTATGATGAGTTGATTCTTTAAATCACCAATTGATTAAAATAGTGATGATCACATAATTCTTGGCTGTCTGCTGGTGGTGGGGTGTGAATGTTTGAGTTGAATATCTTGTATTACTTTGTCAAATGCAGAGAGTTAAAGAGCTTGAACCAGTAGCCGGTGGCAGAAATATCTATGAGGAGCTCTGCAGTGCCGAGTCTCGTGACTTACTAAAAGTTAAAACAGATTGTGTTGTCACATGGTACATCACAGTGCAACATATTAACGTCGCAGTACAATCAAGGTCATAGCTTTAATAATCCACTGTGGCCAAACATCTCACCATCCGTGGATTGTAGCATTGAGATTTTTTTTTCAAGTTGCAAGAAAAATATCAATCATACACTGCTTTATTTCTCTAGGCTCCGACCCAAAAAAAAAAAAAAAAAAAAAAAGCATAGAAGGATATTATTATTATTATTATAAGATAAGAGTGGTTGTCTAAGCACATTTCTATTGGAAGGTTCCTAAAATTATTATTATTATTTTTTCTTTTTTTCAAAAGTTGAACCAAATTGCTCCTAAAATTATTGTTTCCTAATATATTGGACTTTTTAAATTTTTTATCTTCTTAGAATTAGTAAGGCTCTAAACTTATTATTTCAGTTTCCTAACAAATTTGTTATTTTCTTGTGGCTCAAATGCTTTCATAAATGGCAAATAGTCGGCCGCATTAGGCTTCCCGACAAGCTCCATTATCTTCCATATAAGCTATTCAATTTAATTTAATTTCGGATCAAGTATGTCAACAGAGAACATTGTATTCGCTAACAAATTCGAACTTGTTCCGAATACAAACCTTCCGGATAGTTTAACTCGCTTGGATTATGCCACAAACTATATCACTGTGTCACGAAGGTCTTGTAACATATCCAACCTCTGCGTCGTGATAGCAATTCTAGTTTTGTAGTAAACAATTTATGATGTATGTGTGAGTAATTACCTAATCAAAAAATAAAAATAAAAAAATAAATAGTATTTATAAGAGGAGATAGAGAGCAGGAAAAAGTCAATTAATAGGCATAAGCTTGACATTGAAATGAAATAATTGAGATGTGAGGATTTTGGACCATAGAAAATGAGGGTGTGAAGTGGGGACAGTACCTGCAAGTGCTAACAGATCAAACAAGTTAGCATGTGATAGTAATGTGTCAGCCTTTCTCTCAAACTATATCCAGAAGTGGAAACATAAATCTGCCTTACAGCATTCTGCTAACAGATCAAACAAGTTAGCATGTGAAGTTTTTTTGTTTTTTTTTTGGCTCGGATAATTACAAAAGGTGGGCCTTTGGCCAAACATCCCGATTTGGTCACAATACAAGCCCAGAGGCAACAAGGGCCGAGCCCAACACGTTAGAATTGAACAAATAACCATAACAACCGAATGGTTGGCCGTTAATTTAGGTTATTAGTTCTCCATTCGGGTGAACAAGATGCGATTCCGGTGGAAGACCGGCGATTCCTTAGTCTGGAGGTGTTGGCTGCGGACGGCAAGAAGAAGGAGACAGGTTCCATTCGTGTAGGATTCTTCTTGAGGTGGAGCAATCCTTGAGGAAACTCAATTTCAGAATTGAAGTAATGGTGGAACAGATTCGGTTAAGCACAGCCCTCTGTGAACACTTCTTCCCCTTTGAAGATCCGGTCGTTTCTCTCTTCCCGTGTGTGATACACCATTGAAGAAAGACAGACTTTGCGGAGTAAGTTGGAAACAGAATTTGATTTCCATCTTAAGCTGGACCATGTGATTAGGTTTCCCCAATTTGTGATAGAGTTGCAAAAGTGACCTTTATCTTTGATAAAATTCCAGATGGGGGAGACAAAGCAACAGTTAAAGAACAAATGCTCATGTGATTCTTGATGGGAGTGGCAAAGAGCACAAAGGTTTACATATGGAGACATCTATCCAAAGTTGGAAGCCTGGATTAAACTGCAAGCCAAAAATTAAACTTCATGCATGGAATTGTAGGTGAGTTCCATACCAGATCATGCCAATGTATTAATGGAGTTGAATGACCTGCAAGATGCGAGGTTGTGAGCTTTAAGTTGTAGAGACCAGAGGGTGATGCAGTCCATAACTTCTTGTCACTTCTAGCAGGGTATGGAGGAGGCAGCAATCTCAGCTCAGGGGATTGAGGATGTTAGAACTGGTGGAAAGAACCAGATAGAGTTTGCAATGAAAAACTGGACTCTGGTGTCAAAATTGCATCCTGCTTCATCAAGCAGTGCATTTGGAAATCTAGTGCAGAGAGGACCACCTGGAGCCCAATTGTCCCACCAAAATGAGGTTCCATTGCCATCTCCAATGATGTGCTTGATGAGTAGTCTAGCTGGGTGCCTGAGTTGAAGAATCTTTCTCCAGCTCCAAGAACATTGATGAGGAATGCTCAAAGTCCACAAATTCCTGCACTTAATCAGGTGAGTATTGCACCACCTGATCCATAGTCTGCTTAAGTTATTTGTTTGTAGTTCCCATATGAATCTCAAAATTCCTGCTTTGTTAGCTAATTCCAGGTTAGGAATACATACCTAGACCACTTGACTCTTTGGACCTGCAAACTTTGCTCCAAGCAACTTTGGCTCCTGAAGTCTTCATTTCCGGACCAGACCAAAGAAAGGATCTAAAATTGGCATTTAGCTCATTGATAACTGATTTTGGCAGTGTGAAAATGTTGGACTAGTAAATTTAGGTTGAAACAAGAATTGCTTTGATGAGTTGAAGCCTCCCTGCATAAGACAATGACCTTGATGACCAATGTGAGACTCTGAATTATCTTCTTAATCAAAAGGTTGCAATGTATGGATTTTAAGTTGGTGGAGATCAATGGGACCCCAAGATACTTTACTGGTAGAGTTGTCAACCCAATACCAAGTAAACATGTAATAGCATCTTCAGTTTGTGGATCAACTCCAGAGAGGAAAACATAATTTTTGGAGAAATTGATCTCAAGACCAGACATTGAGCAAAAGTGATCAAGAGCACATTTGAGAACTGAAACAGAAGAGATGTCTCCATGGCAAAACAGCATTAAATCATCAGCATAAGAAAGAAGGGTGATTTTTAGGGCACCACATCTCCAGTGGTACTTGAAGATATGTACCTTCTCAACAAAATTCTTGATAATTAGAGACAATGCATCCATTACTATAACAAAGAGAAATGGTGAGAGCCTCTATTGCCTCTGAAAAAGCCTTGGAATTCACCATTAAGAGCAATGGTGAAGGATGGTGATGAGATACTTGCATTGATGAGAGAGATGAATTTGTCTGGAAATTTGAGAAGTTTGAGGCAGTTTAGGATGAAGTCCCATTTAACTGAATCAAATTCCTTCCTCAAATCAATCTTGATAGCACATCTAGCTGGTGTAGAGTCCTTGTGATACCCCCTCAAATGCTCATGAGCCAAAAAAATTGGATCAGTAATCTTTCTACCATGAATGTTGAAGTTTTAATTGAGAGATGTATAGATTCAATGTAAGGCTGCTTTTGTGAGTTTGAATTAGGCAAAAATTGTGCTATTGGAAACGTATGGAATTTACAGTTTGAGTTTCTTAAGGGAGAGATTTTATTGAATATTAAGAGATTGTTTAGTTTCAGTTTCGGAGTTATTATGTTATGTAAATTGTTAGATTGCATCAGTAATGCGAATTACCAGCTGATTTTGATGTTTTAGGGTTTTAGCTAATGGGATAATATAATGAAATTCTACTCGGCAGCCACCAGGTGGTGGCGTTTGTAGGGGTGATTGTGGTGGTGGTTATGTGAGAAGGGCAAAATTGAAGGGATTAAAGGGTAAAATTGAAATATCAAAATTATTTTATTCTAAATTTCACCATAAAGTCATAGGGAATATATTTATACATTTTTAGAAAAATAGGAGTCCATGACGCGGGGTTCCGTGTGGACAAAACTTACAGTGCAGGGTGTCATCTAACAATCGAATGTGTAGTCATTTTTTATCTGTTCAATAATTTGACGAGGTTGGCAACCTGAGATCTAAAGGAGGTCTTGGTATCATCAACTTATGCACATGGAACCAAGCGATCGTGACTACCACTTGGATTGTGAAGTTTATGCCAAATAATTTTTTCATCAAAGAAAGTAAGTATTTGGTGTACTAAAAGCCCTAAGATAGTGCATCTAGTAACTCATGATAAACTTCTGAAATATGATCTGATTGATTCATGAGTTGCGTATTCCATAGAGAGAACATTTAAGACCACAACCGAGCCAAACTTGCCCTTGAAAATGGGACCCATACCTCCTGTGTGGGACCCATGCAATTTCTTTCTTCTTTTTCTTTTTTTTTTTTTTTGTTTTTTCCTTCCCCCTGAATATCCATGCAATATTTTTTACACATGAACAGGGACAGCACGCAGAGGTTGAGCCTTCCGTAAGGTGATGCCAAACTTCTCCTCCATTTCCATGTCCTCCGGAGAAATGCCATCTTCAAGCTTCCAGTCAAATGAGTTTGAGTGAACCCAACATCAAGTGAACCATCCTTATCGCTAGTGGCAATCCAGGACATATTCTTCGTCCACCGCCAAAAGGAATTAGTTCAAAATCATGGCCTCAGACATCAATTTCTGTCCCCAAGAACCTCTCAGGCATAAGTGAGTTTGGGTTTGTCCATATGCTTGGATCGCGGCCGATAGCCCATGCATTTACTAGCACTTGTGCATCCTTTGGTACTGTGTAACCACATACTTCAACATTGGCATCAACTTTGTGAGGGATTAAGAACGGCGCTGGTGGGTGTAGCCTGAGGGTTTCTTTCACGATAGCTTGCAAGTATGGCAGACTTGCAATGTCTGATTCTTCTACCAGGCTGCATTTTCCAAGGATCTGATCAAGCTCAGCTTTGGCTTTCAACAGTGTCTCTGGGTTGCGTAGCATCTCTGCCATTGCCCATTCCAATGTGCTTGAAGTTGTATCTGTTCCTGCGATAAATAGATCCTGTAAAATAGTTTGTGTAAGCAGGAAACTTTACTTACTAATGAAACATTTCTACATATGTCAGGAAGTCGTTACATATATATTGACATGGTCACCCTCCTAAGAGTTATAATGGACATATAAATTCAATGACAGAACAAATCTTTATATAGATTAGCTAACAAGATTAAAGCAACTGCAGACTGATTTAGTTTACATACCACCAACATCCGTTCAATGTGAACTCGATCAATCTCGTCAGGGTCAGATTCACTGATATTGAGAAGAGTATCTAACACATCATTTCTTGTGATCCAACCTTGCAGTCTCCTCAACTCCAATCTTTCGTTGATCATACGATTGAAAAGCCCAATCATCTTCCCAAAATGAATCGTCATTCGACGCCTTATACCTTGTGGATCAATCTTCCTAAGCATAGGGAAGTAATCCACCAGATTGGGTTTACCAGCCTCTTCCATGATACTCCATACTAGTTCCTTAAATTCTTGTGCCGTGTCACAGCTTGTGTCAGTCAAATCTTCAGAAAACATGGTATTTGACAAAAGATTAAGTGTTGTTCTGAAAGCCGCTCGTCCTATATCTACTGCAACTCCTGCCTGGCAACTCTTGTTGATGTAGGCGATGAGCTCTTCAACTTTCTGATTCCATAGCTGTTGCTTAGCGTCCAGTCTTTGACCTGAAAATATATGCGAGTTCAAGATGTTACGGAAATTCCGCCAGCGAGTCGAAACGGGTAGCCAAATCACTGACAACTGGCACTGGTTGTGGGCTTGAAGTGCGTTTGGGATGAATCGATTGGAAAAGCAGAGGTCTTGCTTTTGAAGGATTTCTCTTGCCATGGTTGATGAAGAAATGACAACCCTGGTTATTTGGCCTAGTCTCAAAGTCATGATAGGACCGTGAGTTTTGGGGAGCTCTGCTAAGGACTTGTGTGGTTCATTTCCCAGTTTGAGGAGGTTTCCGATAATCGGCAATGATGCCGGTCCCGGTGGTAGCCTTCTTGCACTTGTTTTACTTCCCCTTCCAATTGATAGCAGGGTTTGAACCAGAGTCCAGGTGAACAGAAAACACAGTAGAAAGCTCAAGAAATCCATCACTCTACTCTCAACTGCCTAGCGTGCTAGGCTGTGTGTCATGCTTGTATGTGTGCGACTAAAGCGACTTGGGAGACTCCATTGTCTTTTAAACAATTTTTTGAGGTTATCACTGTAATTTGATTTGTTATTATTTTTATTATTAAATTTATGAATGCCCTTATCTTGCTATACTAATTTACAAGAGTTGACCTTTTGGTTTATGTAAAATAATGATTCTCACATCATTCTTGGCAGTCCTGCGGGTGAGAATATTTCTAGGCTGTGAACTGCAGGCATTTGTATGACTAAAGAGACTTCGGAGACTCGGTCTTGTTAAACAATTTTGAAGTTATCACTGAAGTTTGATTTGTTATTCTTATTATTAAAATTAAGAATGTCCTCATCTTCCTATACTAATTTATAATGAGTTGACTTTTGGGGTTATGTAATCACTAATCAGAATTAATCAAAATATTGATCATCACATCATTCTTGGCTGTCCTGCTGGCGTATGGTACAAGTTTACCTATGACAGTATGATATATTATTATTGGATACTTGAGGATGCCACGGCAATAAAATTAGAAAATAGAGAAAGATATTAGAAGCTAAAGGCTTAAAAATTAGTGAGATTAAGACGGAATATACAGAATGTAAATTTTAAACAGACTTAGAAACTAATAATATGGCTATAAAAATTTAGGATAAAAGGATTGCTCAAAATAACCTTCCATGATATTTAGGATCTATAGCACAAAAATATGGGGAGAGAGACAATGATATAACTAGTAGGAATGGGGCAGGTTGGACAAAATGGAGACATGCTAGTGCATACTACTACATAATAATGAATATCAAGCATTAGAAAAAAAAAAACTCAATACGTCAATCATTAGATAGCAGAATATTAGGTACTGCCAAAAGAAACAAAAACAACGTATCCATGTTGCTGAAAATGAGAAAAGTGATGTAATAAAATACAGAATGACACTTAAAAATGATAAAAAAAGAGAAAGTAGGCTTAGGTGGTATAAGCATATACAATGTAGACCTAATGTGATGATGCACCAATAAGAAAAGGAAGATTAGTTTGCATTTAATAAACACAGACACTTCTGAGAAGGTAACGTGTTACGTCTATGACAGACTCCAACACTTCGCGTACACTCCAAAAACCATACCGGTTCACTTCTCCAAAGGTAACGTGTTAAACATATTGTGAACATGTCCAAATTTTAAAACAAATATAATTAGTTTTGAACACTTAGCTGACACATGTTGAAAGGTTAACCAACAATTCGCAACACATAACCAACATACTCAGCATAACACAAGTCTTGTATATAACATAAACCATACTTGTTCACTTCTGGCCTCTTTGGCTTAGTAGTATAAAACATAAACCATCTAAAAATAGTTGCAACAAACAATCTTTGGAAACTTTATCAACATCTCAAAGTATCAAACCTTCTGTTTTTAAGAAAATTTGACACTATACTCATGCTCACCACGGATCAAGCATGTAGTGACATTTTTCATGTATACAGAACAAAAAAGCAATAGTAATGACAAAGTAGGAAAGTAGTAACATTTTTTTTTTTTTTTTTGATAAGTGGAAAGTAGTAACATATTTAATATCATAATCTTTATGAAATTCACATACCCCATCCATGGCTGCGCTATCGAGATCCTTAAGCCTATCAAGGTATCAGCAATCACAAGCAAAAGTAGCATTACACATACTCTCAATATATTTTTTCCCAATATTTGTAAATAGAAAACACACACAGTGGACACAGCACAAGCCCAACATAGAACGGTTTCACAAACACATAGACACAGATTGGAATCAAGAGAAAATAACAGAAGCTCTATTCTTTCTTTCTTTTCTTTCGTACTATTCTTCTTCAAATTCTGACGAAGCAGGACAACTTTGAATCCACAAATGTATAGACAATTGAATGAATTGCGGTTATAATAGATAAAACTAACACTAGAAGAAAATCTAGAGAAAATGAACAGCATAAAGAAACCAATGAGCGGTGATCGAACTTGAATTCTAAAAATATTTGACCCACAGGATTTTGAGACCCCAAAAATAGTTAAGTGAGTTTTGTTTATTTGATTGTTTCCGGAATCTGATACTTCAATCGTCGGGAAACTAAAGACGAATACTAACAATAACAGTGCAAAGAGAAAGAGAGCTCGTCGAGATCGTCTGTGCTTACCGGGGACAAAAGACAGAACCTCCTCGTCGGTGGTGGTGCGTAGGTGCACGCACTACCAATCAATGAAGAATCCGCAATGGCGAACCCGACGATGATCTCAGAACGGCGTCGTCGTGGAGGACTCCGAACTTGATTAAAATATCGGCGTCCCTGATGTGATGATCCAATTTTCTGGAATAATCCCATTGAAATTTATACAATTAGGTAGTTTGTTCGACATCATATAAACATTTTTTTTTAAAGAACCAATATAATGTAATGTAAGTAAATACCATTTTTTAAAAAAAATAATTCAATCTATATATATATATATATATATATATATATATATATATA